ATACTCGAATAAAAAATCACAAGCTAATACTTTTTTACAAGATGACTCACGATCTCACACCAAATTATCTTTCGTCTCTAGTCCCGCCATCCGTAGGAAATACTTCAAGATATAACTTACGTAATGCCGAGGACATCCAAACCGTACGCACAAGAACAACGCTTTATGAAAATTCCTTTTTGCCGTCCGTAATACGGGACTGGAATGAACTTTCCTGTGAAATTCGAAATTCTTCATCACTGTCATCTTTTAAATACAAATTGAAACATAATCTAAAATGTCCAAATTATTTTTACATTGGGAATAGAAAACTGCAAGTTCTACACACACGGCTTCGTACCGGATGTAGTTCACTTAATCACCATATTTTCAGAAAAAACATTTCTCAGTCAGAACTATGTAGCTGTGGTCTTAGTGAAACTACACACAATTACTTTTTTATTTGCCAACTTTATAATGGAATAAGAGAAAGTTTCATGAACACCTTATCAAACTACTGTACTATAACGTTGCACACACTACTTCATGGCGACTGTAACATGAGTGATAATACTAACTGTAATATTTTTCTTACTGTTCAAGATTATATCAGCAAAAGCAAGCGATTTACTTTACGATTTACTATGAGATACCCTTATTTTATCAATGCCATACTGTTAGTGCCGTATTGAAATACCTTCTTTCTCTGCTATCTTATTTCTTCTTTTCCTCTCTTTTTCAGATAGTTGATTATTTTACAAAACCTTCTACTAACCAACTACGAACTCATATGTTTTGTATATAATATAAAATTCATTCTTATTACATAATTACTCATTGTACTTTCAAGCATATCCATGTACATACATATACACACTGCCAATATTTAGCAAATAAAAACTAGGATAAGACCTATATAAGCATCAGCTTTCGGTTCTGATCCTTTTTCATTCATTTCATGTGTTGTAAAGTTCTGTTTGCAAATTGTAAATGTGTATACTTGTTTGAAATAAACTATGTTTAAACTAAACTAAAAACTATGACCTTCTTTAATCAAAATTAATAGTCGAAACGGAATTCAAAAATAAAATCTAGCTTTATGTGTATCAATTTAATGTTCCATGACAACCTGCGTACGATTACATCTGTGAATGCAATTCTAAACAAAAAATGAACGTATAACCATTTCTATTTTAAAAAGGGAATGTCCACTCATTCCCAATTCACGTACCAATTATGGCCAAATTACACTACAAAAAGGATGCCCCTTTTTACCATTTTTGAGAAAGAAAAGAACAAAGACAAGCAAAAAATCAACATAAATGTATTTGTATCTTTTAATTAACAGTGATTTAATTGACATAACTCAGTGTTAAGCCAGCTTAACAAAATCAAACAAGCTCTTACCTTGACAACAGTAATTTAATTATGAAGAATTGTTAAGCTGGCTTAACAAATAATAAAACAAAGCTACATACTAATAAATTTGTGAAAAAAACACAACAATAACTCAACTGATGTTAACTGAAGAAAAATGTTACGCCGGCTTAACAATATCTTATACGATATAAATAACAAAATTTATCATTTCATAAGATAAAAATTAACCAGATAAAATGTTACGCCGGCTTAACAAATATTGAAATCCAAGTGGAATTACAACACAAAATTTCAAACTGTAAGTTAATTTGTTACGCCAGCTTAACAAAATCAAAAAATCATTTTCATTAGATGAAGAAAAATGTTACGCCGGCTTAACAATATCTTATACGATATAAATAACAAAATTTATCATTTTATAAGATAAAAATCAACCAGATAAAATGTTATGCCGGCTTAACATTATCAAAAATCACTTTCACAACATAAAGAAAATGTTACGCTGGCTTAACAATTTCTCAAATCAAATAAATATTTCAAAGAAAATTTCAAACTGTAAGTTAACTTGTTACGCCAGCTTAACAAAATCAAAAAAAAATCATTTTCATTAGATGAAGAAAAATGTTACGCCGGCTTAACAATATCTTATACGATATAAATAACAAAATTTATCATTTCATAAGATAAAAATCAACCAGATAAAATGTTATGCCGGCTTAACATTATCAAAAATCACTTTCACAACATAAAGAAAATGTTACGCTGGCTTAACAATTTCTCAAATCAAATAAATATTTCAAAGAAAAAATTTCAAACTGTAAGTTAACTTGTTACGCCAGCTTAACAAAATCAAAAAATCATTTTCATTAGATGAAGAAAAATGTTACGCCGGCTTAACAATATCTTATACGATATAAATAACAAAATTTATCATTTCATAAGATAAAAATCAACCAGATAAAATGTTATGCCGGCTTAACATTATCAAAAATCACTTTCACAACATAAAGAAAATGTTACGCCGGCTTAACAATTTCTCAAATCAAATAAATATTTCAAAGAAAATTTCAAACTGTGAGACAAATTGTTATGCCGGCTTAACAAAATGGAAAATATTTTTAACTGTAAGATAAATAATTCCATTAGATGAAGAAAAATGTTACGCCGGCTTAACAAATATTGAAATCCAAGTGGAATTACAACACAAAATTTCAAACTGTAAGTTAATTTGTTACGCCGGCTTAACAAAATCAAAAAATCATTTTCATTAGATGAAGAAAAATGTTACGCCGGCTTAACAAATTCTCAAATCCAAGTTGTATTACAGCACAAAATTTCAAACTGTAAGTTATTTTGTTACGCCAGCTTAACAAAATCAAAAAAATTATTTTCATTAGATGAAGAAAAATGTTACGCCGGCTTAACAAATTCTCAAATCCAAGTTGTATTACAGCACAAAATTTCAAACTGTAAGTTATTTTGTTACGCCAGCTTAACAAAATCAAAAAATTATTTTCATTAGATGAAGAAAAATGTTACGCCGGCTTAACAATTTCTCAAATCAAATAAATATTTCAAAGAAAATTTCAAACTGTGAGACAAACTGTTATGCCGGCTTAACAAAATGGAAAATAATTTTAATTGTAAGATTAATAATTTTCATTAGATGAAGAAAAATGTTACGCCGGCTTAACAAATTCTCAAATCCAAGTGGAATTACAGCACAAAATTTCAAACTTTAAGTTAATTTTATATGCCGGCTTAACAAAATAAAAAAATCATTTTCATTAGATGAAGGAAAATGTTACGCCAGCTTAACAAATTCTCAAATGCAAGTGGAATTACAGCCTGTAAGTTAAATTGTTACGCCAGCTTAACAAAATCAAACAATTATTTTCATTAGATGAAGAAAAATGTTACGCCAGCTTAACAAATTCTCAAATCAAAGTGGAATTACAGCCTGTAAGTTCAATTGTTATGCCGGCTTAACAAAATCGAAAAATCATTTTCCTTACATGTAGAAAAATGTTAAGCTGGCTTAACAAATTATCAAATCCAAGTGGAATTACAGCCTGTAAGTAAAATTGTTATGCCGGCTTAACAAAATCAAAAAATCATTTTCCTTACATGTAGAAAAATGTTAAGCTGGCTTAACAAATTATCAAATCAAAGTAATGTTTCAAAGAAAATTTTAAACTGTAAGATAAATTGTTATGGCGACTTAACAAAATCGAAAAATCATTTTCTTTACATGAAGAAAAATGTTAAGCTGGCTTAACAAATTTTCAAATCAAAGTAATGTTTCAAAGAAAATTTTAAACTGTAAGATAAATTGTTATGCCGGCTTAACAAAATCGAAAAATCATTTTCCTTACATGAAGAAAAATGTTAAGCTGGCTTAACAAATTCTCATATCCAAGTGGAATTACAGCATATCAATTCTCAAATAAATTGTTAAGCCAGTTTAACAAAATCGTAAAAATCAGTTTCAAATTCTCAAATCAAAGTAATATTTCAAAAAAACCATTTTAAACTGTAGGATAAATTGTTAACATAATTGAAAACCATTTTCATTTGAAGAAGAAAAATGCCAGCTTCACAATTTCTCATATTAAAGTAGAACGTAAATGATCAATAAGTCTAACAGTTAAGCTGGGATGCTGATTTAACAAAACTAAAATTAATTTCATTAGCTGAAATGTTAACCAGCTAACATTTGTATAATATCAAGTAGAAGAACAGCATAAAATTTCAAGTTATCCGATAAATTTATATGTTAGCTGAACCACTGAAATTCATTGGAGCGCCTGTTTATCTAAGAATTACTGTAGTTCCAAAGTTCTAAGTAATATTTTAAAACTACCATATAAATTGTTATGCAAATATTAAGCTACTTAAACACAATAAATAAATTAAGTATATATCAATACATTTCATGACAAAAATTGATAAGGTAGCTTAACAAAATAGTTTAACAGAAATATATAGAAATACATTCAAGGACAAAACTGTTAAACTGGCATGGAAATGAAACTCGGATTTTCTCAGAATCAATCAATCTTAACAAAATAGTAAATAAAATATGTAACTTAGCATATGTGTAATCAATCAAAGATTAAATACCAAAAATTACAATATATTCTAGTTTGCCAAAAAAGTAAACAGTAATATGTGATCAATTTACAACTTACATAATTTGAAATTATTTTCAACTATTTAGAAGGTACCAAATGGTAATAACATTAAATCAACTACATTCAAGAAATTGTTCTGCAGATTTTTAATGGTAGTATACATGAAAAAAAAATTGCATCACAGTAGAGAAATAAGAAAAATATATTTCCTAATTGCTAAATGAGAGCAAGTCATCTATGCAAAAAATACCCATAAAAGTGTGTAATCAGCTAAGCAAATACAAAGAAATCATTACCCTATATGAAATCTTAATGCAACCTGCCCTGTATGCACTATCAACAAAGCCTGAAACAGGTTTTCTAAATAATACAGCAATTCAAGTAAACAATACAGTTTCAAGAAATTTAAATATATAAAAAGGAACAATAACATTATACAATTTTCAAACAGGTTTAACAGAATTAAAATCCAGATGTGTTTCTTTTCTTCATCTGTGAGCGGAATCATCACAAGTCTTTGACAGTCCTTATTATGGGCCTTTTTCCGTCCTTGATCTGTAATGTAAGACAACATTGACTTTTAATCAAATAAAAAAGCCTAAAAATAAGATAAACTGTTTATTTTTCTCACGTAATGATATCAGTATACTGTATTCCTAGAAATGTTCGCGGATACAATATTTCGCGTTTTTCACAACATCATCATTTTCACGGAGACAAACTTTCGTGGATATGTAGTAACCGCAAATTCCGCGAATATTAAGTCGCTACGGCCTAAATTACAGTTTCTGAAGGCAACGGCTGAACAACGTACAGTATAAACCTACATGTATTTGATGTCCAAAACATGAAAAAATAATATTGAAATAAAATTATTCCCAGTCTCCTCCCCTATATATACGCATGCAGTATAGCCTTTTTTCCATTTATGAATGTCACATTAATGATGCAGCAATTCCTGCGATTTATGATTGACCTTAATATCTATAAAATAGAACAAGAATAGCAGGTAATTTACTGTTATTTTTCAGTCCAGACTAACGGTTATTTCGTGCTTCTTAAACAGTATCATACGGTACATAGCTTTCATTATAACAACAAAATTAACATGATACTGTTAAAGTAGCACGAAATAACCGTTACATAAATCCAGACGTCTGGACCGAAAAATGACAGTTATTTCGTGCTACTTTAACAGTATCATACTGTACATCGCTTTCATTATAACAACATAACAGCTGTTTATCAATGTAGCAGTTGATCGCTATAGTACTTTTAACAAAGGATTACACATACTCCAAGCAACTAAAATCCAAGTCATTCAATGAACGCAAACTGTAAATGCTTTTGTATACGCCGTGACTAGCGAATAACATCAATAAGCATGATAATTACTAATAATTGACATTTTTTTTCAGGGTCCAATGAACTTTACATAATTCTTTATACGTTTCTAAAGCACCTGTTTTTATATGTTTTTTGTGTGAGTAGATTATAATAAATATTCTGCATGTTTTTTTTTATCAACATATCAACAGAAATGAATATCTATATAATATGGACAGGTTTATCACATAAAAAAAACAGATGTTGCTGGTGCGGCTCAAACCCTCAGCCTAGTGACTGTTTTTTTTTAGTAAACTGAGTACTGACTTCATGAAATATATAAAGCTACTGAAAGTTACCTGTTTTTCCGCTTTTGTTTCTGGTTTTCTGATTGGTTTTCTTCGGCAAAGACTTTCTTTTTCATTTGACATTATTCTTGATTGTGTCTGTTGCCTAGGTTTCTTTATGGTTATCTAAATATTTATAAAAAAAAGAAATTCCTGAACAGTTATGTTATCCTTTTCTGTTATATGTAACATAGCATTTCCTAGTCAAAATGCTTTTAAAGTACTTATTATGAAAACATTAATTATTTCAATATTCAAACAATTAACTTTCACATTTTAAAAATCATTAAAAGAATTATATGATGCATAAATGACACAACACAAGATGTCAAGTTCAAGTTAATTCTTTTTAATTTTTCACTGTGATGGAAAGAGTTTATCAAATATTATTTATAATAATGTCCACAAATATCACAATACAGCTAACACCTGAATTTTCTTAAGTTACTGTTAAGTTGTAAGTTTTTAAATACTATAGATGTTGTAAGTTCCAAATTCAAAATAAGACTATTAGATGTTAGTTCCGAAATTAAAATTAGACTACATATAAACGTTTGAATGTTAATAAAAAAATTTTTTTTCAAATTTTGTGTCACAATTCATATTATATTTCTTAAAATTAAGGTCCTATCAAAACAACAAAACTTTAAGGAAAAACTATAAAGCAATATAGCAAAATCTCAATAATCAATAGAGAAAAATTGAATTCTTAAAGAATGCTCAAAACACCAAAACCTAAAATGTTGCAGGCTTGGTTTGTTTTAGCCCATTCATCGATTGTAGTGGTAAATGCATGGCCCTCACACTGACTTAAGAACACAACAATTACATAGGTATAAGGTGAAATTTGAATTTTGAATCATCTGCTTCAATCCTTTAAGCTGTAATCTGTTACTATTTAGAAATGTTCGTTTTTTTCTTTTTGTCAAGCAATATAAATAAATATCCAAGATACCTTTGGCTCAACTGTTTCTTTGTTAATCTGTTTATCTACCTCCTCTGAAATCGTTATGCTGTTTGTGGCTTCAATATATGTTTGTCTGGGAAGTTCCTCCAAAATCCATTTCGTTTTTTCTGTATTGGGCTTGTTGTTTATATTGTCATAAAATGTTCTCCAAATACTCCATGTTTCATGATTTTCAAACATATGTTTAATATTTTCAATTTGTTTCAATTGTCTCTCTTTGTCTATGTTGGAATAATCTGGGGCTAAAGTTTTGGGCTTATTTTTTGGAATGGTTTTAAGTATAGTATATTCCATTGGAATCCATGAATTACTTTGGGCACCTTTATAAAAACCATCTGTCTTTGTTGCTGCTTTGCAAAATTTATAGTGCAAGGGCCCACTTACACCAGTTAACGATTTTATTTCGGGAGAGAGCCAGCTTTTTACATCATACATGTTGTCCAACATCTTTCCATCAACTAGATCTATAAATTTCTGAACTGTCTCAACATCTGTTTTTCGCAATTTATCGGCCACTTTACTAAAAGCTGCATCCACATCCTCATGGGTGTGCCCAACTATTAGAAAAGATAAATGTACCTGAAAATAATTTTAAAAAAATATATAAATTACATTTAATCTAAGCTGGAGAATATGAATAGCTACAAATTATATGTACCATCACATGGATTTAACATCAAGGATATAAATATGTATGTGGATAACTTTAGACATTTTGCTATTGCTTGTAACAAGTAACAATCTTGTTAACTACATGTACTAGTATACATGCAGAGTTAATTCAACCATATCCTAACTTCTGTAATTCTTAAATAATTCAGACATACAGTTGAATTTTCTATATATAAGGGTTTATATTTATATAAAAAATAATCCATAGAAGTGGGCAGATATATGTTTGATGTATTCCATTTAAAACCGTGCAAGTTGGCGTCGACCACGGCATTAGGAATTTCCCAAATAAAGATAGTTTTACAACTGGTCCACATGCAATGAGACGGATTTCTATTTGATATATACACAGATAAAAACAATATAATTTATTTCGTTTGTGGAACGAATTAGAAGGAAATTATTTTCCCTTAAGGTAACGTAGTCATCGTCAGTATATTTAGTAAAGCTTGACATGAGTGCACGATATTTTCGTGCAGTATTTCAGTCTGTGTAAATTCATTCAGCTTTCGGTAACCGACCAGTTTACATCGTTAAAATTTACACACTTAACACAACCGAAGTTATTTTGTACATGTACATGTGGCATGGCTGAAAATGACGAAACTAGTTCTTCTATTCTACAGTCAGAGAATTCTTCAATAAGAGAAGTTTTGTTTGAACTTAGGCAGCAACGGAAAGAAGTAAGAGCTCTGCGTGCAGAAGTTCAAGGAAATTCTCAAAGTGTCGTTAACGAAATGAAGAAGTTGAAAATCGAGATACAATATGAATTTAATAGTGACATGAGCAGTACAGTAGAGCAGCTAGTTTTTGCTATAGATAATCAGAAGTTTGACTATTCTAAAGAGCTTTGTCTAGAACTATCAGACAAGTTTAAAAAACGAAACAAATTGAAACGCATCGCAGATAATTCATCAGGCGGCTGGGAAACTGTGAGACAATATGAAACAAATCCCGTCGCTAGTGATTCAGAAGACGAAAGCAGAATCAACAAGGCTGAGGCTCGAGCTCTTAAGCGCAAACGTTTAAAATAGAGAGAAATAAGAATCCCTAAAGAAAGCCCAACACGGCAAAATTGAAATGTTGCAGGCTCGGTTTGACTGAGTCTGTTCGTGGACGGTACTGTAAAGTGCAAACTACCGTCCATGCCCCCTAGCACCGCCTTAAGCATTATTCAACATTTAAACATGTGATGGTAAAATTTTGTATTTAGAGACATTGGCAGATGTGTTCATACGGCGGTTATCATGGAACCTTCAATGGGACACAGTAGTGCCATTCCATGAAAAGCGGCGTATGGTCCCCAAGTAATAAAAAGATTGTGCCCTAAACGATAAAACAAGGGCGGAACTAAATAAAATGGAATTTTGAAAGGGGATCAGAGGTTATGAAGCCTGCATATGACAGATATGACGTCAAGAGACAAAGTTAAAAAGCAGGCCACATATCCTAAGGGTGATTCAATAGTATTCAAGTGAGGAATACTGGAACCACCTAACAAGAAAGATACCGAATAGAAAGAACTAAAATAACACAAGCACAAAATAGATAAATACAGAATCCCTAAAGAAAGCCCAACACGGCAAAATTGAAAATGTTGCAGGCTCGGTTTGATTGAGCCTGTTCATGGACGATACTGGAAAGTGCAAGTTACCGTCCACGCCCCCTAGCACCGGCATAAGCAGAATTCAACATTTAACATGACCTTTTGACCTAAAATTTTGAATTTTGAAACATCCGCAGATGTGTTCATATGGCGGTTATCATGGAACCTTCAATGTGACACGCAAGTGCCATTCCTTGAAAAGTGGCATATGGTCCCCAAGTAAAAATTGCGTGTGTCCTAAACGAGGAACAATGGGCTAAACTAAATAAAATGGAATTTTGAAAGGGGATCAGAGGTTATGAAAGCTGCATATCACAGATATAACGTCAAAAGACAAATTTAAAAAGCAGGCCACATATCCTAACGGTGATTCAACATTATTCAAGTAGGAATATTGGCACCACCCAACTAGAAAGTGCCAAAACGTTTAAACTAAAAATACCACAAGCACAACAATAATGTCGTGCTGAACGATCTTCAAGGATCGAAAATATAACATCATTGATTTAATGTACGGGGAGACTTTTTACAGCCGCCACACGGCACAAATAACACGGATAACAATTAGGTCGTGCTGAACGATCTTTAAGGATCGGAAATATAACATCCCTGATTGAATGTACGGGGTGACTTTTAACAGCCTCCACACGGCACTGATGTGTCGATAAAATAGAGAGAAAGTCCAACACGGCAAAATTGAAAATGTTGCAGGCTCGGTTTGATTGAGTCTGTTCATGGACAGTACTGTAAAGTGCAAACTACCGTCCACGCCCCTAGCGCCGGCTTAAGCATAATTCAACATTTAAACATGAAATGGTAAAAAGCTCACGTGGCAAGAGTGCGGCCACGTCATGTTATTCTCGTGATGATGCTGGTTCTTACACCGGTGCAAAGTTTTCAAGTACGAATGATTTTATCAACCAATATCAACGTTTCCTGGAGGGAAGGTTTTTCGTGGCTCATCCAACAACCTCAGTTCAAGAAGCTACATGCAACCATTTGGGTATAACTCGGGTTTACTTGGGCTCTGCTTTGCCTGCGGCGAATATAACCACTTTCGAAAAAAATGTCCAAACATCAGTCCCAGCTGGAAACCAGTCATCCAGTGGAATTTAAAAAGTGTGAGCAAAATCCTTCTCATGAAGACTTCTTCAAAGATGAATATTTTTATAATCTTTATAAGTTTACGCACAATTATTACGAGTATGAACAGGGTCAAAAATATAATTGTGAAAGGAAGATTAAAAGTACATTAATCAAATCAGCTTTGTTGGAATCAGATTTTGTAAATGAAGCTATTCAGGATTTGTTAGATAGATCTTTAATTAAAAGATGTTCTGTTATTCTATATACATGTATTATAAATCCATAAACTGTTTCTGTGCAAAGATCTGGTAAGAAAAGACTTATTCTTGATTTTCGAATAGTTAATCATCATCTCTGGAAACAATCTGTTAAATTTGTGGATTTAAAAGAAGTACTTTCATATCTTCGATAAGGTATTTATTTACTCAAATTTGATTTAACGAGTGCATATCATTTCATTGATATTTATCAGCCCCATTTATCAGCCCCACACATGATTTTAAAGGGTTTTTGCAGGGGCCAGAAAACGGCATTGTTAAGTTTATAAGTTTCTTGAAATTTTCCTTTCGGATTTTTAAAAGCGTTTTGCTATATTTTTAAAAAATTTTAAAAAGACCACTTTTTTAAGAAGTGGCGTGGGTAAAGAAAAAATGGTTTCTATGTTTTTAAAACGGGGGTTTTTTGGGGGCGATCCCAGTTTTTTAAAAAAAAAAGGAAAAAAGTTTTTTCGCCCGATAAAAAAAAAGTTTTTTGTACTTTTCCCGGGTTTTTAAAATACCTAAGCAAAAGAAGTCAATTTGGATCCCTTTTTTAAGTTTTTGGAAAATATTTAGAATTGTATTAAATTCCTTTTTGGGGTATAAATTTATATTCCGGATCGAAAGTTTTTGGATTAAAGCAAAAAACACTATTATTGAATTTTAAATATGCAAAAAGTTATAGACGGATTCCTGTACGACAAGTTGCCAGTATTGTTGGTCAACTTATTTCGATGTCAGTAGTGTTAGGTCACGTGACACAGATCATGACGAGATATTTAAGTGCGGATGTACTTACCGCGAAGCACTTAGATTCATATATTTCTCTTTCTCCAGAGTCTGTCAACAATTATTATTTTGGAAGTCCAATGTTAGTTTGATAAATAGCAGATTTCAGAATCAAAAGGTTTATAAAATTGTATATTCTGATGCCAGCTGCACGGGTTATGCAGGGTATGAAGTGTCAACTATAAATGGGGTTTCCCATAGTAATTGGAATTGTAAAGTTATTCTTCCACTTGGAAAGAGCTTGAAGCTGTGTATAGGGTTTTACAGTCCTTAACTCTTATTTTAGCTCCTGAAAGAGTTAAATGGTTTTCGGATAATCAAGCGGTTGCTACAATTGTGAAAAAAGGTTCTATGAAAAAAGACTTACAGGATATATCTTATAAGATTTTTCATTTATGTTTGTCAAATTCATTTTTTCTTGAGTTAGAATGGCTCCATCGTTTGAAGAATGATAAAGCTGATTATTTATCAGAAATTGTAGATTTTAACGATTGGGGACTTGCTTCTCAAACTTTCGATTTATTGCAAAAACGTTTTGGTTAATTTGAGAAAGACTGGTTTGCTTCCGAAAATAATGCGAAAGTAGATCGTTTTTATTCAAGATATTGGAATCCGTCTTCTGAAGGGGTAGACGCATTCACAGAGTTTTGGGGCAATGATTTCGAATATTTCGTCTCACCATTTCAATAATTCATAGAGTATTGTCAAAGATGAAATTTGATAAAGCAAAAGGTGTTATTGTCGTGCCTTGCTGGAAATCAGCTGTATATTGGCCTATTCTCTGTCAAAGCGGAAATTTAAATTAATGTCTAACGTTAAGGATTGGATAGATATGCCTTCAAACAGAGATTTTTATACTCGATGTAAGTCCGGGACAGGTATTGTCGGCAATACATATTTAAAATTCCGAATGATAACTATTTATTGATTTCCAAAGGGAGATTAATCGTATTACTTATTTCAGTATTTTACTTGAGAATTGTCCCCCTTATAATAAGCAAAAGACATCATTATTGTCAGTGAAAAGGCAGCATTGCCAGCAATAGACAGAATTGTCAGTAAAATGGCAGTTTTGCCAGACATAGACAGAGTTGTTAGTGGAAAGGCAGTATTGCAGTTAACAAAACTTAATTGATTGATAAAATGTACAGTCAAATTGTGTTTATTGTGATTATTTGTGAATTTACATTT